GTCACACAGCTAATAATAAGTAGGACCCCATGCAGCCTGGCTCCAGGGCACCTGTGTGAATCTTTGCACCATCCTCCCTCTTGGGGCTGCCTTCAGGTCACCAAGGATAAACATCTCAAAGGAATTCAGGAAATGTCTTCTTGGCTGAGCACAGAGTAACACAGAAGCAGTAGAATGAACAGGAAGCTTGGATCCAGAGAGGGAATGCTCAATCTGAATCCTCCTCTGGCTCAACCACTCACCAGCCCTGCAGGGCTGTTTCAAGAATTCAAAGGGATCATTCCCAGGGAGGTTCTGTGCAAAGTGCCACATGCGCGCCACACACACACACACACACACACACACACACACACACACACACACACACACACACCCCTACCTATCTCTGTCGGGGGAGGACAGACACTAACACAGCCCACATTAGGCCTGGCCAACATCATTTCATTCAGCACACGCTCCAGTAGCTGGTGTGTGTCTCCTTGGGCCCCAGAGATACTTTGGCTTTGACCTCACACCGATGGCTGGTATTGGCACACTCATCTGACAGATGAGGCAGCTGAGGTTCAGAGGTGTTAGGTGACTCGCCACAGTCACACAGCAGGGAATGGCGCAGCTGTGTACTGCTCCATTCTGCTCCTGAACCTTGGGGCATTTGTAAAGGGGGGACAGTAACCCAGGAGGCCCTCAGGAGATGGAGCCTCAGCCATTTCAGGATTAAAATGATCTCAAATGAAAACAGCCAGAGGCAGCACCAACTTACGACCCTTGCTGAAAAACAACAAACACACCCAAACGATAAAATAGGTCTTTTTTAATTCACTTTGATTTGGATCATTGGAAATATTCAACAATAAATAAAATAGAACAGGAGCCCAGGAAGGCCGACTCTTGCTACCGTCATTCAAAATGCATCCTATGAGCAGCTGCAAAACAAACACAGAGAAGCGAAGCGGAACGGGAAGCAAATTTTAAAACACCAACAACCAAGCAGACAAGACTGCAAAGAAGAAAAAGTGCTCAAGAAACTTTGGCTTTGAGGGGAATTCAGTGAAATACAAAAGCAATTGTGCAGGAAGGGAATGAACCCACGGTCATCCGAGCAGGACTGGCCTTCAGCAGAGACTGCAGTTCCATCTAAGGCTCCTAATCCGCCCTTTGCCCAAATCACCCAGATCCGACCTGCCCTCTCCACTTTCTTATCTGCTTTTCCTATTTATGTTTTATCTTTTCATATCTGGCTTCTTCCCCTAACCCCAGCCCGTGGTTTGCTGGATGGTGCCTGACAAAGCCATTTCAAAAGGTGTCCATTTGAAAACTTTCTTCTTTGTCCCGGATTCCTCCAGGGAGCCAGGGGCTACAGATCCATCCTCCTTTCTCCCCTAACAGGTGGGTGAGGGCAGGGGAGGGCCATGCAACCCCAGCTGTAGGAAATCAGCCTCCTGGTTCACTGGGGGACCCCACAGGGTGGGTGTTACATGAAATCGCTTGGGCTACCCTCAGCAGCCCTTGCCTTTGAGGCTTCAGGTTCAGCCCCATGTGCAGCAGGCAGGGACTCCCCTGCTCCCTGCCCAGAGCCCAGAGCTGGGGTCCAAGGAGCTCTGCACCTGTGGAGTGGATAGAGCCCTGAGCTGGGATTCAGGCCCTGAGGGAGCACCCTGCCATTGCCTCAACTGGTGCATTTGGGCAGGACTGGCCTTCAGCAGAGACTGCAGTTCCATCTATGGCTCCTAATCCGCCCTTTCCCCAAATCACCCAGATCCAACCTGCCCTCTCCACTTTCTTATCTGCTTTTCCTGTTTATGTTCTATCTTTTCGTATCTGGCTTCTTCCACTAACCCCAGCCCGTGGTTTGCTGGATGGTGCCTGACAAAGCCATTTCAAAAGGTGTCCATTTGAAAACTTTCTTCTTTGTCCCGGATTCCTCCAGGGAGCCAGGGGCTACAGATCCATCCTCCTTTCTCCCCTAACAGGTGGGTGAGGGCAGGGGAGGGCCATGCAACCCCAGCTGTAGGAAATCAGCCTCCTGGCTCGCTGGGGGACCCCACAGGGTGGGTGTTATATGAAATCGCTTGGGCTACCCTCATCAGCCCTTGCCTTTGAGGCTTCAGGTTCAGCCCCATGTGCAGCAGGCAGGGACTCTCCTGCTCCCTGCCCAGAGCCCAGAGCTGGGGTCCAAGGAGCTCTGCACCTGTGGAGTGGATCGAGCCCTGAGCTGGGATTCAGGCCCTGAGGGAGCACCCTGCCATTGCCTCAACTGGTGCATTTAACCCTGGCCACAATGACTGGCTTTTATTCAGTTAAGTACACTGTGCTAAGACAGTGGGACACAAGGAGATGTCTGTGGGGCTAAGGGAAAGAATACTGTCTCTTCCAGAGGACCATGTGGGCACCCTGAGAAGGAGCTAAGTGCTGAGAGGCAGAACAGAGACTCAGTCACCCACTTTTCAGTTACATTTTTTCACGATGCGGGGAAAGCCCATATCTGGATATTTTAAACATGGAACCAATAACATCCTATTTTTGTTCAACGTCTTTGACCTGTTCTGTCTTTTAAGATGGGTTCACTCTCCTTCTCTGGGCCTTGCTTTTCTCATCTGTAAAACGGGAGAGCTGAATTTGCTGGGCCTGAAGATATCTCACAGCTTGAACATGGGGAGGGAGAGAACAGACTGACCAGGCAACTGACCTGGGCTGCATCCGGCTCAGATATGGACACATCTGCACTTTGAGGACCTGTTCTCACTCAGCAAAACCCAAAGAAGTAGATTGCTCAACCCGAACTTCCTAATTAGACTCAGCTTGTGGGAGAAGGGAAGAGTTCAGCAATCGACACTGCTCCCTGTGTCACTGCTCACTTTTCTCCAGTTTGTCCCCAGGATTAACCGCCAACTGACAAATGTGTACAGAGGTCTTCACGTCAGCACACTGTGAGGTCCAGCCTTTGAGGACGTCTGCCCAGAGTTATGACCTCACAGCAACCTACCAGCCTCTATCAGTCAAAAGAGTCATAAGGTTTAGAGAATTTTTTTTTTTTTGTCTTTTTTCGTGTCCGGCAACGGATCGCAGCCCTCAGTGTCGCGCCCGTACTGGACCGGGACCGGCAACGGGATCGCAGCCCTCGGTGTTGCTCCCGCACCTCGCTCAGCCAGTGAGCAGGAACCGGTCTCCACATGGGATCCGAACCCTCGGCGGGAGCACCACTGTGCTCCCAAGCGGCGCACTGTAGCAGTGCGCCTCCGGGCTGGCCCTGGTTTAGAGAATTTTAAAGCTGCAACAAGTTTTGTTTTTTGTTTTTAAACTGGATTCTGAATATTTGAGAATCTAATAAACAATATGGAAACTCTCCCCAGAAAAATGTTTATATGCAGACTCTGGGGAAAAAACAACTTTGGTGTACAACTCCTGGGGACTCTTGTGAATGGCCGGAAGCCATCTGTGGCCTGAGCCCCCCTTCCCAGGTTCCTGTAATCCCTCCCTCCCAGTTTTCAGAGGGGGACCCTGTGCTGGGGAGAGCAGGTCTCACATCTTCTTCCAAGACTGCATCCATCCCACTCCACCAGGAAAATGTCACCCCCCCCACCCACCCAAAGCAGCAGTGGCTTTTATGGAAATGCTTTCAACAGAAAAAGTGGTTTTTCTGATTAAACATCAGTAACCAGAGCTGACGATCTGATGCCTGTGGCTCACGCCTCTCTACCTGGCCCCAGTGGGGTTTCACTGAGTTCTGCAGATTCCCTAGCCTGAGAATGAACTGACGTGCACAATGAGAAAGAAGGCAGGCGGGCCGGAAGCGAGGCAGCACAGGGCATTTCACAAACCCTCCAACCTGCCATCACGGGATCGCCCACCAGCAAGCCCACACACCCTAGACACCCCCAACACCCCATGGCCGAGGAACCCTACGACCATTCTTTAAGCTCCGCGTTCCCCAGCTACTGGTGAAGCAAGAGCAAGCTTGATGAAAACACCAGGACCAGCAACAGAGCCCCAGAGTGCACACAATGTTGGTTGAATTTTTAAAAAATCAATAAATAATCAGGAAGACTAAAGAGGGAAAAAGAGAGTAGATGGGGAGTGAGAAGATGAGGTATGTGCCAGTCACCGTTGTTCCTTGGATGCCCCTACCCCAACCCCCAGGATGCCACAAAGGTGGCCAGCAGAGACTTGGGTCCTTGGGGAAAGTGCTGGCTGCTGGAGGTCCCTTGTGTGGTCTTGGAGGGTTATGGGCACCAAATCCAACAGTCTGTGGAAGTGTCAGTGGACGTTCCATGGCTGATGTGCCTCTGGGTGGCCTTGAGTATCACCTGAGCATTGTTCCAAATCAGGCCCTGGCTCAGGACTCTAGAAAAGATGTTCTCAGCTACAGAGGAGCGGGGGCTGCTGGTGGGGACCGGCTTTCCCGAGTTGGGGCTTTTGCCTCATTTCAGCCAACACATGCATTTCTTCCCCAAAGGCACGTGGAATTAATCAGATCTGCACTCAGCCATAATCATAACCACAGAGATTGATCACTCCAGGGAACATCGACTTGGAAAGAAGGATCTTCGGGAGTCAGAAACACGTTGCCATGTTTCTATGAAGATCTTTGGGGTGGGCAGCCTATCATAAATGAGCTTTGGGAAGAAAGGAATGATGGGGTTGTCACACCAAGCGAGAGGCCAGGCTTTGTGCAAAGGACAGCATCTCGCCCTGAGTGCCAATGCAGCCCAATGTGACTCTATCCTGGAGGTAACTGTCACTCGGAAACATCCCAGTGAGAATCGGAGGTTAAGAGTCAAACCTGCAGCCCTTGTGTGGCACGTCTCTCTGCCCATCTCCCCCAGGAAATTGTCCTGACTTTCAGAATATGGGAGTCTTTAGTGTTTGTACCCCCACCCCTGCCACAGAGGCCAGACTGTTTCGTGTTTGGAGACTGGACCTTTCCCAGCATCTCCCCAGCTTGGGACAGCAGTGGAGGAAAGTTCTCTCCAACCGCGGCAGGTTCTGAAACCTGCTCTGCAGCCCAGCAGAGTCCCATGACCTTGCTGCGTAGATGCTGCTGGAGGATGGGCGCGAGAGGCTGTGTGTGGCACCTGGGCACAGCCCCAAGGCTGGACCTCAAGGCTCTCAGAACGGACGACCCCGGCGAGATGTTGGAGCTGGAAATGGAGAGGCGCCATCCGGTGCGTCCATCCTCGACTCTTCACAGCATCATCTCCCTGTGAAGATCCGGATTTTGTTGATGGAAGCCAAGGTGGCCGTCACGTTGGACTCGAAGTCCGCATCATGCACCCCCGTCTTGCGAAAAGCCCCTGCTGATGGGTTGTTCTCCCAGTAGTGGTGCCAATTCCCTTTGCTGTCTGCCCCAAAACCATACAGGTCCACCTGCAGGGGAAAGCCAAGGTCAGAACCAGACAGCAGGCGGTGGGGGGCATCTCTGAGAAAGGGAACCTGTAGACATTCCCAGAATCCAACCCGACAGTCAACACCATTGCCAAGGATTCAGATCAACCCTGCGCTAGGTTCCTGGAACTCTTGAGGGCTTGGGAAAGCAAAAGCATGGAGATCCAGTGCCAGAAAGTGCCCGAGAAGGCACCTGCACATGGGTTCCCTGAAGGGCTGGGTCTCACCACTGGGGCAGGTGCAACCTCTTCTCCAAGGCTTGAGGAGCCACGGAAGGAGGAAGTAGAATGGAGCTGAATGCAGGGCAGGGCTCTAGGGCCAGGCAAAGAGCCCCAAATCCCAGCTCTGCCACTTACATGGTGGACCCTGGGTGTGTCACATCACCTTTCTGAGCCTCACTTTCCTCATCTGGAAAATGGGACCAAGAATCGGAATCACAACAGGGCAGGTGGGAGGTGCTGATCCTTTTCTGCTGAGGCCAGTATCACCTGGTCCAGGGGCCCTCACTGTCGAGTGGGTGGGGGGCCTTCCACACAGGTGGCAACACTGATAGGGCACTTACTGTGTGCCGAGCACAGTGCGGGACATATCAAAGTCCAGGCACACCTTTCACAGGGGCCTCCGGGTGGGTGCTTGGGAAAGTGGGGACCAACTCAGGTCTCAGCCCTCAGAGCTTATAACTGATGGTGATCATCAACTGAGCAGTCCATGGAGGGACCGGCTGGATTCAGGGCTCCCACAGCACAGAGGAGGGGACAGTGACCCAAGAGGCCAGAGGAAGCTCCTCTGAGGTGACATTTGAGGTGGGTCTTGTAAAATGAGTAGAAGATGACCAGGAAGAGACCATGTGGAAGGACTTCCAGAGAGAGGGCATGCTATCTGGGCTAAAGGACATTTTCATACTTGAGGGCTGGAGACAGTGGGGGCAGGGGGACAGCTCCGTGGCAAATGCAGCTTTTTCAGTATATGCCAGCATGGACACGAGTCCACACAGAGCAGGGACATTAGTGTCAGATAGGAGGGAGGAGATGAGAGTCACATTTCTGAGGCAGAACCTCAAGGGGTCTGTGACCAGTGCGCTGGAGGTGGAGGGTGGGGACATGGGAAGGAAACCCATATTTCCAGCTGCAGCCACTAGTGGCTTGTGGGAAAACAGCCGAGGCCAAGAGTGCGGACCTACCATGCAACCCCCTTGGCCCTTCCTGGGATTTCCAACCTCAAGCCCAGAGGGGTGGGGTTGGGGCTAGGATGCATGTGACACGAAGGGACATCAGAATGCCCTGCGTGAAGCCAGACCAGGGAGGAGGCTGGGGAGGTGGAGGAGGCGGTGTGGCCCTCCCTCCTGCTCCTGTGCCCGGGGTGGCCGCGAGCCTCAGATCATCAACCCTGTGGACGGCAAGGCAAGGCTGTGTGGGAAACGCACGCTCCAAAGCTGCTGGTTCTCAGCCTCGGTGGACGGTGGAACCCCTGCGTGCCCTGACCTCACCCCAGGAATTACGGTAAAATTGGGCCAGGATGTGGCCCGGGTGCTGGAATTTAGCTCCCCAGACGACTCTAAATGAAAAACTGAGGTGGAGACCATGGCATGACACCACTCTCCCTGATGGAATCTGATCCTTTATTTCCCTGCTACATCCGAGGGTCCTGGTTCTACCACAGGCGCTCACACAGAATGTGCCAGAACTTGTGCTCCTGAGAACTTTCTCATAGAGCACTGTCACTCCCTAACACCCCCTGTGAGACAGCATCACAAGCCCCACTGTAGGAATCTGGGCTTCTGGAAGACACGGCTAGGCCCTCTTGCCCACCCTCTCCCCCGCTCTCTCAGGAACGCGGAGTGGCGCGCCTCCTCCTCCGGGCAGCCCCCCGGGCACGGGGCAGGGTGGCCTACCTCATCACAGACGTGCATGGAGAAGATGACCGAGAGGATGCCGGTGGACGGGTAGCGCCCGTGGCCCTGCAGCCAGCTGTCGAAGACGTACTTGATGAAGGCCGGGTGGTAGATCAGGATCTGCGGGGTAGATCAGGAGGATGCGGCTCTTCATGAGTTATGGTCGGCAAAGGACACGAAGCATCTATTAGGTGCCCCCCCACTGTCGTGGCCATGGGGACACAGCCGCGACAGACCTGACGAATACCCCTGCACCTGCGGGCTTCCGTGAGCGTGGGAAAGGTGGGCCCCACCTGCATCACTAAGGGACAGAGGGTGCTTGGAAGTGAAAAGACTGGAGAGAGAAACAAAGTGGAGAAAGGCCCTAAGGCACCGGGGCGAGGAGCTTGTAGAGGTGACATTTCAACAAAAATCCAAGGAGGCCAGGGAGTGAGACGTGAGGCTGCTCAGGAGGACGTTCCAGGGAACAGCATGAGGTGGACAGGGACAATCAGAAGACACGTACACCGAGCCACCCACTCTACCTGCACTGGCCAGAATCATCGCCAATCCTTCAAAGGACCCTATGTGCTAGGTTTCCTTCTCCTCGTGTTACAGAGGAGGAAACCGAGGCTCTGAGAGGTTAAGTCATGTGCTCAATGTCACACAGCCGGCAGTGGCCAAGCTGGGAGGGGTCCCAGTATCAGGTTTGGTCTTGGTTCCACCACCCCACAGCTGTCTCGAGGACAGCAAAGAGGACTTCTCAGGCAGTAGAGGGTGTGAGTGCATGTCCAGGAAGCCAAATTCCAGCCCCTAGGAATGGACCAGAAGGGCGGACTATGAGGTCCCTGGTGAACCGTTCATCTCTCAGTCTGGCCCTAAGGTCCTGCAGCCTCTGCGAAGCTCTCCCATCCATCCACCAGCTCCACCCTGTAGGATGCATGTCTGGCTTCTTCCCTGTGGCAGCTCGGCCCAGTGCTAAGGGTGGGGTGCTGGAGGAACAGGGGGACTTCAGTTCTAGCCATATCACGAACTAGCTGTGTGTCCCTGGGCAAGTTACCTGACCTCTCTGAGCCTATTTAAATATGACTGCACGTGCAAAGGGCCAGTGTGGTGTGCACTTCACTTCCTTCCTTCTTCTACCCTTTGCCCATCTCTTGGCCAGCCCCATACTGAGGACCTTTTGGGGAAGATGGGGACATGGAGAGACAGGAGGTGAGGTGTGGCTTTGAGAAGCTCACACCATACAGGAGCGAGCCTCAAACTGCACCCTGCATTGGCATCTCTGGAGGGCTTGCTAAAACCCAGACTGCTGGGCAGCATCCCAGGGTTTCTGATGTAGTAGTTCTGGGGTGAGTTTGAGGATCTGCGTCTGTGACCCTGCACTTTACAGTTTGCAAAGCAAGGGGCTGCTACCATCAGGGCAGAGCTCACAGGTGCGGAATCCTTTCTCTGCTACTGCAAAGTTTCCAGGGTGCTTGGGGACGCAAACTTTGGAGTCCATTTGGGAGACCTTAGCAGGAGGACGGCTAATGCCTGTGGTTTGTTCAAAGTAATGGAAGGAAAGGGGGGCAGGGAAGAGTTGGGACAGTCGCAGGAGGTGGCCCATAGGAGGTGGGGCTCGGGAGGGAGGCATCCCAGGGGTAGGCATAGCCAGGGAAGGGTGTGGTGGGAGCAGAGGTGCCCACGTGGCAGCAGCAGGGCGGGTCTGTGGAGGGACTCACTGGGAGATGGTGCCTGTGGTGGTGGCGCTCACCACCCACTCCAGGTCGATGGTCTTGAAGGGGACCAGGACCATTCTGACGTTCTCCCCCAGCTCCCTGAAGCTCTCGGGGTACATGAGGTGATGGGTGGTCTTGCTCCCGACATCGGCCTCAAACCCCACAGTGGGCGCCTTGTTCATCCTGGAAGGAGAAGGGAGAGAAAGCTGGGTGGCAGGACGTGGGCAACCTGCAGTGTGACCTCAGGTGAGTCACCTTCCTGCCTTAGGCCTCGTCTTCCTCATCTGTAAAATGGAGACAGTTAAGACACAGTTCAAAGGCTTTCATCATTTTTTCCTCTTTTAGAATCTCCAGTCGGTCTAACCAATTCCACCAATGATTACCTCTTATGTGCAATCGTATCCCGTTGGCATCTTACGGTCCTTTTTTAGAGTCGAAGAAACCTGAGCTCGGAGAGGTTGTCCCAGGCCACAGAGCTACCAAGTGGCCACTCCGGACTCAGGTCCATTTAACTCCCAAACTGACCCTCTGCCTTTCACAAGGGACATTTCCACTGGATATCTGGTATACCGGCTCCGAGAGGCCAGGTGAGTGGTCTAAGGATGTAAAGTCAGAGATCACAGAAACAAGAGACAATTCCTGAAGGTCATGCTGTGCTTCTCGCCCTGGGGCACTTGTGAGTGGTGTGATGCAGGTTACAAGAAACCTAGGACAGACTTGGGGCAACTTCCTAGAATATCTCTTTTACTTGGTGATGGGAAAACATATTTTACATTGAAAGCATATGGCTCTATTATAGCTAGATGGCAAAATGGGGATAAATTTTAAAAATAAAACAAGAGTCTTCAATCTGGCCCTCTCACAGGCCTCCCTGTGCCACGCTCCTGGCCCACTTGGGGACGCACTGTGCAGTTTCCTCTCTGCATCCAGACAGGCATATCTAGTCCATCTTGCAATGCAGAGATGGGGAAACTGAGGCCCAGAGAGAGCAGTGAGGGGCCTGGTGTCCCAGGTAAGTCCAGGAGCAACCTTCTGACCCTGAGCAAAGCTGCTTTCTCCTGCTTCAAGAGGCCACCTAGGGGCAACACAGTGGGCTTGGGCGAGGGTCTGGCACTCACCTGAACACGAAGTCATGGCTGTCTATCTCGGGCCCATACAAGGACTCTCGTAGGTTTCCAGAGTTGCCCACAACGGCACAGCGCCGGCAGCCCACTGACCCCTTCTCCAGCACGGGGTCCACATCCCCGGGCACCACTCTGAACAGCTCCTTGATGGTGTCATTCAGGTTAGTGGGCTTCTTCTCCCGCTGGAGCTTCTGTGGGCAGAGGACAGAAGGAGACACTCAGGCTGCTGTGCTGCCTCTGGCTGGGTGGGCTCAACCTCGTGGCTGCTGAGCCCCCAAACCATCTGCTGTTGTTTTGGGGGACTTCCCGGGTACCCTGCCCTCTGCTGAGCCCCTGGAAATGGAGACAGCTCAGACACACCACCTCCACCTCCTCCCCGATAAGCTCAAGGGCTACTCAGGCAGCTAGAAAGGAAACAGACCATTCATTCATTCTGCACATATTTATTGAACATCTGCTATGTGCTAGGCATGGCTCTGGCTACCTGCGACAAGAAGACCGGCTGATAGGCATCAGGCCCATGAGAGAAGTGTCCGGTAATCTAGCTCAGATCTTCACTTCATACCGGGTCTCCCAGGCCCTGCTCATGCGACCTGCCCAAGCAGAGCTCATCCGCTTCCCCAGCCTGCCGGCTCTGGCTACCTGCGACAAGAAGACCGGCTGATAGGCATCAGGCCCATGAGAGAAGCGTCCGGTAATCTAGCTCAGATCTTCACTTCATACCAGGTCTCCCAGGCCCTGCTCATGCGACCTGCCCAAGCAGAGCTCATCCGCTTCCCCAGCCTGCTCCTCCTGTGGTGCTCCCCTCTCTCTCTACAAAAGGCCCTCCATTCCCCTAAGTGTCACAGCCGGAAACTCGGAGCCAATCTCACTCTGCCCTGGTCCTCATCGAGTCCCAAGCCCAGACACCTGGTCTTGGGGCCTGCAAGCCCTCATTCACGCCTTAACAAGAAGAGCAGAGAACAGGTATTGGTGCCAGCTCTGCAGCTCCGGACAGGGCCAGGCAGGCTGACGGCAGTAAGGCATCTGTGTATCCTCGTGTGTCCCACAGCTGCTCCCGCCCCAGGACTCCTGGACTCCAGCAGACCAAAGAATCAGCTGGATGCACAAAGGCCTCTGATGTCCACCTACCAAAGTGTTTCCATCCTCTGAGACCTAGCTCGAGGGCCAGCTGCCTTGACACCCTCCCTGTCCCCCAGGTAATGTCAAGCATTAGTTGTATCTTGAGGGTGACCAGCCAGCCTGGTTTGCCCAGGACAAAGGGGTTTTCCTGGACGCAGGACTTTCAATGCCAAAACCAGGGTGAGGTGGTCACCTTACTGGTCCCCTCCCTCTACAGCCGGTTGGCCCGCTGGTGCAGGTGGCGCTGTGGTCATGCTGAGTAGTGTCTGCCTGCGGATGCATCTGCTTTCCTCGCTCCTAGTGATCCCAGGAGAGACTCCACAAGAAGTCCTACATCTGACCCCGTCACCACGCCAGGTGTGCATCTCCTCAATTGCAGATGGGGAAGGACACTCCGGGGCCAGACAGGTTCAATGACTTGTTTCGAATCCAAATCAGGATTTGAACCCAGGTTTTTAGAAACCCACCTTAAGGTTTCTCCCACAACACAGCCGCTGTCTCTGGCCCCGGGAATCTTGACCTTTGGAAAGCCAGCCCCTGGGGTTGGGGGAGGTGGGCTGGAGGTGATTCCTGTCAGCTACCCCAGCCCCAGGGACAGTGAGTGGCTAGGAGAGGAAGGTGTGGCTAGCGGTTGCTTTGGCCATTATTCAGATTAGTGACCAGGGAGGTGTGCAGAAAGGTCCCAGGGCACCCAGTTTCCCCTTTAGATGGAAGGCATCAGAATCCCCAAGGGGAGCCACACCCAGGTCGCTCCTCTGGTTAAAACCATCTGGCATCTCCTCTAGCATCAGACCACTAGACATGCCAACAGAGAAACACAGGCAACAGTTCCAACCACACTTCACACCCACTAGGACAGGTAACATAAAAAAATGGAAAATAACAGGGTTTGGTAAGGATATAAAGAAAATGGAATCCTGTGTATTGCTGGTGGGAATGTAATACACTGTACCTGCTGTGAAAAACAGTTTGGTGGTTTCTCATAAGGTTAAACACAGAACCACCATATAACCCGGCACTTCCACTTCCAGGTACCCACCCCAAGGAACTGAAAGCAGGGTCTTGAACATACATCTGGACACCCATGTTCACGGCAGCATTACTCACAATAGCCAAAATGTAGAAGCAACCCAAAGGTCCAGTGATGGATGAATGGGTAAGCAAAAGGCGGTACAGATGTGCAATGGAATACTATTGAGCCTTAAAAAGGAAGGAAATTTTGATAGAGGATATACCATGGATGGACCTGGAAAACAGTACACTCGGTGAAATAAGCCAAACACAGAAGAACAAATACTGTATGATTTCACTTACATGAGGTCCCTAGAGGAGACAAATTCATTGATACAGAAAGTAGAAGGGTCGACAGCAGGGGCTGGGAGGAGGGGATAAGGGGAAGTTAGTATTTAATGGATACAGAGTTTTTATCGGGAATGATGAAAAAGTGCTGCTTATAAATAGTGGTGATGGTTACACATCACTGTGAATGCACTTAATGCCACTAAATTACAAGTAGTTAAAATGATAAATACTGTTATATATTTTACCACACAAAAACACCATCCAGATTAATCGCCTGCATCTGATAGGACTGCCTGGGGAAGCTTCTTGCTCTTGAATATGCAGACAGTCACCTGGGATCTTGCAAAGGTTCCCATCCTCACCCAGTAGCTTTGGGCTGGGGCCCGAGATCCTGCATTGCTTGAAGGCAGCAGATGCTGCTACTGCTGGTCCAGCACTCCAAGACCCCTGGGGTAGAGGAGCACAGCCAAGCTCCCCTGCAGGAACCCAGCAGAGGTCCCCACCAGGAAGGGCTCCCCAACCTCGTGAAGATGTGCTCAGGACCATAGAGTGCCCTCATGTGTGCTGTTACCTGGAGGAAGCATGGCACTGTGTGCTAAATTAAGGAACAGCATAGCATGCTGTATCCATCATGCAGTGATAGGTACTGAGTGCCTCCTAGGTGACACATGTGCTTTGGAGGCCGTGGACATGTATTGGGAGTGTGTCCTGTGCTTCCTGGTGCGAGTGCACAGCCCTCATGCATCGTCTCGCTGGACCATCACTGACTTACTTCCCTTTAATGACTCAATTAAGAAAACAAAGTAAGTTTATTTGAAAAGGAAACCTCACATCTCTAACACAATGGAAAGCGAGGATTACCTGGCAGAAGTAAAAGGGAATTGTATAATACGATGAAAACAAAACCACCCTATTCAGTTCCAGCTGATCCTGTTGCTTGCCCAGGCAAGCTGTCCTCTCTTCGCTAGAATGAAAACTGGCAAGCACTAGAGAGGTGTATAATGAAGCATCGAGACAAATTAAAGTCCTTGCACTGCAGAGTCGGAAAGGAATTTAGAGCAGGTTTCCCCTCTCCGTGATGCGATGTTCTTCTATGTCCTGCCTCGTATGACCTCAATTCACATGGCCCACACTTTAGGAATCTCGGATCTGTTCCAACCCTTCATCGGCAAAAGGGGAGACTGAGGCCTACATCTGGGGAGGGACTCACCTGAGGTCATATAGTGAGTGTGTCAACAGCAGAGCCAGGTACAACCCAGGTGGGAAACTGAGCTGCCTTTCTGTAGATTAGCATCCTAAATCTCCCACTGACCAGATAACTCAGCTCAGACGGTTACTCAGTGCTGCACCACTGTTTTCCTTGGGAAGAAATATTGTTCTTCTCTTTTGTAAATGACAATAAAGTACTACAGGGCTACTGATACGAATACAGGCAAGAAAGTTCAAAGACACTCCTTCCCCTATGTCCCCAACTAGTTTCCAAGTATATTCCCTTATATACAACAACACTCAATAAATACCTGCTGACAGGTGGCCCAGGGGAAGAAGGGACTAGGTGATAGTAGCATTTAATGGGTAGTGACCACGGGTGCTGCTAAAACATCCTACAATGCACAAGACATCCACCCATGACTAGGAATTATCCAACCCCAATGTCAACAGTGTGGAGGTTGAGAGCCTGCCCTATTCCCTATCAAGCTCAGTTTACCACCTCCTGCACCAGGCACTCAAGTCTTTGAGAGGTCAAAGACCCTGCCTGTCCCATTCTCAGTCACATCCCTTGAGCCCCCTTCGGGACCTGCACACGAGGTGCTCAACACCAGGACTTAGCCGGGTCTTCTGATTCACAGCACAGTGCTTTAGACCCTTCTAAATTTCATGCACATTTTCTGTTCATTTCAAATAGACCGTAAGCTCCTTAAGCGCAGGAATGGCTTAAAGAAAATGCTGTACGGGAAAGTTCACCTCCTGTGGGATGTCTCCCTGCTCGTCTCAGCTACACTCAACTCTCTCTTCTTTTAGCACAGCCTATAAGGGACTTCATGAGCTAGGCCCATGGCCCCAGTTGCACGTGGATTTTAGGCATGATTCTCTACCTCCTGCTCCCACACATGCTTTCTCACACCTCCAGGTGATGCACACACGGCTCCCTCTGTCTGCAGTGTCCTTCCTCCAGAATACACCCAGATGACCTCTCTGCTTCCTTCATGATGAACTTGGCCATCGCCTCCTCTGGGAAGCCTCCTCTCAGAGCCCCAGCCCCCAAGGAGTGGTTAGATATCCCTCCTCTGTGGTCCCCAATCTCCTGTGCCCAATTCCTGCATAGCATCTATCAACATGCTTTGTGATTGTCTGTTTTCTCTTCTCTCCCTGCCACCCCTGAAACCCAAGAAGAGAAGACAATGTCTTTTCCATCTCAGTATAGTGGTGCTTGGCATATAGTAGATGCTCAATAAATACGGAATGCATGCATATTTCTTGCTTCCCTTAGAGCTATTTTGCATTCAACAACTGGAATGACCTTTCAAATGGGTAAATCTGATCATGGGACTCCCTTGATAAAAAGTCTACAGTGGCTTCCTGTTGCACTTAGAACAAACCCCAGACTCCTCAGCATGGGAATGCATATTTCTTGCTTCCCTTAGAGCTATTTTTGCATTCAACAACTGGAATGACCTTTCAAATGGGTAAATCTGATCATGGGACTCCCTTCATAAAAAGTCTACAGTGGCTTCCTGTTGCACTTAGAACAAACCCCAGACTCCTCAGCATGGGCTTGTCTACTCCCAAACCTCCTCTCATAGCACATTCCCTACTCGGGGCACCCCAACCACACCAGGCTCCTCTCCTCCAGTACAGCCAGCTGGTGCCACCCCAGGGCTCTTGCAGTTGCTGTCCCAGGGACTGGGAGCATATTCTTAAGATCTTTCCATGGCCGATGGCTTCTCTGCCTTTGGGTCAGTTCAAGTCCTGCCTCCTCAGAGACCTCTGTGTGGCCCCACTTACAGAGGCGCCCCTCCAAGTTTCTCTCTGTCACAAACCTTATTGAACCTTCCTTAAAGCACTTCCATCTGACCCCCCTTGCTAATTTGTTTCTCATCTGGCTCTCCCAGCCAGAATTGTGTGGCCCCACTTACAGAGGCGCCCCTCCAAGTTTCTCTCTGTCACAAACCTCATTGAACCTTCCTCAAAGCACTTCCATCTGACCCCCCTTGCTAATTTGTTTCTCATCTGGCTCTCCCAGCCAGAATAAAACTCCACAAGAGTAAAGATCTTGTCTCTTTCTTTTTTCCATTTTGATACCTAGAGTGGATGAAGTAGTGGCCCCCCTAAAGATATGTCCAAGTGCTAGCCCCTGGAACCTGGGAGTGTGACCTTACTTGGAAAAAGGGACTCTGCAGATGAAATTGTCAAGGTTCTGTAGATGAGACCATCCTGAATTCAGGATGAGCTCCAAACCCAATGACAGGTGTCCTCATAAGAGAAGGAGAGGAAGATTTGAGACACAAAGAGATGCAGGGGAAGAAAGCCACATGAAGTGGAGGCAGAGGCTGGAGTGGCATGTCTACCAGCCAAGGAGCACCAAGGACAGCCAGCAGCCACCAGAAGGTAGACACAGGAGTGGGAGAATATACTTCTATCGCTTTAAGCCACCACGTCTGTGGTAACTTGTTACAGCAACCACAGAGAGCTAATGCAGCACCTTCTGCTCTGACATATACAATAGATCCTCAATGAATAGTTGTTGAATGAATAAATAAATGAACCATAATCTGAATTCTGCTAAATGCCTGGCAGGGCCTCAGGCGCACAGCAGGGCCCTAACACTTGGCTCTGGGAGCCCCCCACACTCACCCCCAGACCCCCACGCTCAGCCCCAGGCCTCACCAGCCACCATTGGTAGGTGTCCTCCTCCAAGAGCGCGTTCCGGGCCGTCAGCAGCGGCTGCATGGTCTGGTTGAATCTCTCGTCGAACCAGGCCGAGAGCCCGCGCTGCCCGATGCAGCGGGTGCAGGTGCAGGGCCTGTACTTGATGAGCTTCTTGAGGTTCTCCGAGAGCTCCAGGACCATCTGCTTGGGGAACCAGGTGGTGGGCACCGTGGTGTGGGTGTAGTTCAGGAGGAAGGAGGTGAGGGAGATGAGGAGCAGAAGGAAGGTCAGTAGTTTGAGGGTCCTTTTCCTCATGGCCACCATCTTCCCTTCCTGGAGGGGGCCTCCCTGGGACGGGCTAGAGGAAATCCCTCTGAATTGAGAAGAAACACGGAATAGAAAGATCCCAGGGATGAAGACTTGATCAGAAGGGACGGTGGGAATTCCCAGGGAGGCCTCAAGGGCTGCTGCAGCCAACTCCGCTTCCACCAGGGGACAGCCACCCGTGTGTTCCAGACATCACCGTGTGGTCCACAAAAGCCATTCATGGCATGTTGGCTGTGCCTGCAATAATTTGTCGTCTCAGGAAATAAAGCAGCCTCCCTCCTCTACAGTCCTTAAAGAGCTAATGGTGTGTCTTGATGAAGCTCTAATCGAACTCAGTAACAGTGATTTCCTTTTCCATCCAAAGGAGTTGAAGGGTAATTAATCTCTGTGACAGTCCAGGGTCCCTCGGGGGTAAGGACCTGGAAGGAAGGGTCTTTGCCACCCTTGTCCAGAAAGTGTGGTTTGTGACAGTCATTAATTAGAGCTTTGTCTTTCCCCTGGTGTCGCCAGAGACGTGGCGGTTAAGTGGCCAGCTTGACGAAGGCACAGAGGGTTGTGTGTCATCTGTGTGAAAAAAGAAAAACACAGGATGAAATTTTGTGACCTTGCTATAAAAAGAATCTCTCTCCATGCCTCCACCAGGGTGCATTCCATGGGCCTCCCCTCTGTCATCAGCCAACTTGACAGGTAGCAAGGGAAGATTTATTTACCCTCTTGAGCCTCAGTGAGTGAGTGAGTGAGTGTGTGTGTGTGTGTGGAGTGTGCACGTGTGTGTGGACGGTGAGGAATCAACGTCTATTTGAGAGGCTGTGAAGGGGCACGGTAGGTGTCCCATCCATGTTTCCTACAATCGGGACCTAGCACATTTGAGCACTCCACAGAAGTCTGTGCAGCGCTTCAGTGATGCCTGCGTGGTGCGATGTACAGGGAGATTGTTAAACGCATGTTACTTGCCTTTCTCTCCTTCATTCTCTTCTGGATTCTGAATTTCAGCAACAACAGCAGCAAAAATGGTATGCATAGGGAGAGGCCCAGCCTTCCACTTCCCCTGGCATTCAGGCTCTGCCAATTAGCCTGGATTCCATAGAGGGGGCTTTAGACAGCCCAGGTTCAAGTTCTGGTTTAGCAGCTGTGTGGTCTTGGGAATGTTACTCAACCTTCCTGCCCCCACCACCCCCAGTTTCTTTTTCTGTAAAATGGGATAATAATATCCCTATCTATAGGATGGCTATTTATAGGATGGTTATGAAAACAAATAAAATGATGTACATTGAGCTGCTGGTATCTATTAGGCAATTACTGAACTCTAATTTTCCTTTTTAAGTGGATAAAGGAGTGAATATTCCTCAGTGATCCACTATGGGCCAACATGATGATCTATATATATATATATTCATGTATATCTGTTGCCTCAGAGAATCCTCAAAGTACACAGCCAGCGAGATACTACTTTCCCTTTTTGTCTTAAAAGAAACTGAGACTAAAAGAGACTAAATGACTTGCCCAAGGTCATAGGGAAAGGAGGAGGTGGGATCTGTGTCCAAATCCCCAGCCCTCCAATTCCTTGTATCTGGAGGGGTTGGGGGACCAGGGACAGTGGGTGGGGCCTCCACTGTGGAGGTGACACCATCATGTTAACTAGTCTTTAGATTACCATGGCTGGAGGGATAGAGAGAAGAGGGAACACATTCTATCAAAGAAAAATGGGGACCCCTCAAATGCCCATCGCACAATTCCCCAGATCGCACTGACGTCTTAGGGCTTCTGTCTGGTACAGTTGTGGTCACAGCGCCACAGTGAAGCCTGATCTCTCTGATCTTTGCCTGGGATGCTCCCCCCCCACACCCTGATTTATCTGATCCATTCCTCCCCATCTGCAATGTGTAGCTCTTTAATGAGAAGGATATTTTTTTTCCAGGAAAGTGAGAGTTGAAAGGGAATTGATTACCTTTCAGTTGAGTAGAACGGCAGATCAAAAACCAGATTAAATCCACAATGCCTTTCTGGAGACATCCAGGGCTCAAGACATGTTTGGTGCCATGCCCCACACCTTCCTCATCTCCAAGCCCACTGTATGCAAGATAAGGTCCCCGCTCCTCAGCTCAGATGGCAATGTCATCTGGTACTGGCCCTTGTCCACTGCTCCACTGTTTACTTATCACGACAACCTGGCTTGTATTTATAACCTACTGGTGTCTGTCACTGTCCCGCCCACTTCTCCCTGCTCACTTCCCTATCTCCATCTTGTCATCTGTCTTCTTGCAATTATTCATCCAGTTATTTTAAAGTCCAAGGAGCAGCTCTGTCATTTGAGTTGGATTAGCTCCCTTATCTGCACAGGAAGGCCCCAATTTCACTTGGCTGGCAGAGGTTCCCAGCCCTCTTACCACAACAATTGGTGCAGGGATGGGTGTCTGTCTTAATCCATCCAACCGAGTGAACCCTGGGATTTTTGTCAAGACGGAGGAAACTTTCCTTTGTTCTGGCTCCTCTGTTGTTAGATATGGAGCATCATGCTGGCCATTTTACTAGCTCCTGGGGAAGAGGTTAGAGCTGAATGAGGCCCAGAAAAGTGGCACTAAATCCCTGATCTAGCCATACCTGTAGCCCACCTACACCTTGATTTTCAGTTACATGAGAGAATAAATCCCCTTTATTGTGTAAAGCAGATTATCTGTAACTTGAAGCAACATGCCTGACCCACAGGTTACAATTGCTCCTGCCTCTGGGCCCCAGCCCACACTGTCCCCACTGTCCAGAAAATCCATCCCACCCTGCTTGCCGGGTGGGCTCAGCTCGTGCTGAATCCTGGACGGATTCTTCAGGGCTCAGCTCATGCTGAATCCTGAGGGAGCCCCAGCCCCTCCTGGGGTGAGCTGGGCCTCTCCTGGCTCCCACAGTGCCCTGGCTCCACTCTGCTCACTGCGTTCTTATCTGTTTCCCCTCTGGACTAGAAGCAACATGAGGCTAGAAACTCGGTCTCACCAAGGTTGTGGCCCTGTCACCTGGCACACGCTCGGTGCTCAGTGGGGGCTGGTAGCATGAACGACTGCAGAAACAAATGGAGGGAAATCCAGAGGGAGATCGGAGCAAGAAAGCACACATGAAGAGTCAAAGGATGCGAACTGTCACCAGGCCGTGCCACCCATCTGCTGTGTGACTGTGAACAAGTCCCTAACCTCTCTGAACCATTCCTTTAACTGGAAAATGGGGCTGACAACACAGATTCTGCTCACTGCTCAGGGACATCAACCTGTCAGGTTCTGTCCGTTCATCCAACTCACTGACTACATATTTGCTGGTCTCTCTGTGGTTCCAAGCACCGAGATAGGTGGTTGGGATATATCATGAAAGGCTCTAACGTGTGAGCTTTCTAGGCATTAGCAATGCCCCAGGTACTTTGGGAGAAAGGAGGCTGCTATGGCTGGATCAGAGACAGGAGGAGCAGGAGATAGGGTCAGACAGGAGCCAGGCACGCAGGTAAGGTGACAGCATGTTGGGCTATGGAAGCCACAGTCAAGACTAAGTTTTCTCTGAGTGAAATGGAGATCCACTGAAGGGTATGAGCAGAGGACTGACATGGTCTCACTACATTATCTTCACAATGAGCAGGGCCCAAGATGCCCTTACTGGCTCTGTACACCCAATGCCAGGGCAGGACATTTTCCTAAATGGATGACTGTTGAACCATGTTGATCAAATGTGATTCTGATGAGAGCTTGGGTTCCCTACAACCTCCTAGGGGTGGGTGAGAGCTGGACAGGGGGCAAGGCTGAGCTGCAGAAGCTATGGGACCACGCCACTCTCCTCCCATCTCTGAGGCCAGGGTGCTCATTTGGATGCTACCTAGCGGCAGAAGCTTCTGGGCTGGTATCAATTAGCCTTTCAAAAGCCCTGGAAACAAGTGCAGGGTAAAAGCAAGAACACCCCTCCACCCCTTCCTGCGGCCAGGGAAAAAAGGAGGACTGCGTGACTTTCCCGTGCCCCATCAAGCATGAGGCAGCCAGGGACAAAGTCCTGGCTTGCTGAGATGGGACCCCAGCCAACACGCCACGGGCTGAAGATCTCTGCAAGGCAAGTATGCGCTGAGGGAGGCTGCGAATCCTAAAACCGAAAGGAGAGGCTCCCTGTTCTCTCTGGCAGAATGGCAGGGATCACCCGGCCACGTGCTGGAAAGTGCACACGACAGTCTAACAGGGTGAACAGGATCATATTGACTACTGTCAGCCCCCTGTGGAGAACTCAGAAAGTAAGTTCTGAGGTTTCCCCAAGGAGGGGTCCCTAATGAAGTTAAGCTTCTCTGACACTACAGAGTTGGGGGGCAGTTATCAGCAAATGAGAGGATTGCTTGAAACTCTTGGAAATCCAAATGAATGAACCACACAGGGTTTTGAATGTAAACACCTGCTGAACTGTGGGTGGTTGTCATAGGCCAGGACCCTCCAGGCACTCCGCAAAGCATAGCCCTGGCACTACAGTGTTGGAGAAAAGCCTGAGTGAACGGTGCAGGCTGCTGGCCATGTTGAAGCTTCTCATAAAGAGTGGCCACCACTATCCCCAATGTGACCCTCAATCGACTGGGTGAGGAGGGTAATCAGCAGACTTGTGTCTTTGAAATGACAAACAGGTCCAGAGAAGGCAAGTGACTTCTCCAAGGTCACCCAGCAAGACAGTGGCAGATCCAGCACCACCATGAGCCCGGTCCTCCTCCTGGGGCTTTCTACGTAGCCATGGCTCATCATTCTGAAACTTCATCAGTACCTGCCCTTATCTTTACTATTTCTTTTCTTATAATTTCTTTGGTTTGATTTATCGTCCTTCCAACATTTTGAGATTTCCATCTGATTTTCTTTTCTGGTGAATTTCTCCATCTTGTCATCTGTCTCCTTGCAATTATTCATCCAGTTATTTTAAAGTCCATGTCTGACGCCCTGTGATACCTGGATGACATGTGGGTTCATTTCTATTGTCTATTTGCTGTCTCTCTCTGTCTTTAGTCATTTGGTTCTGTCTCTCGGCATGCCTGTCTTGCAATTATTCATCCAGTTATTTTAAAGTCCATGTCTGACGCCCTGTGATGCCTGGATGACATGTGGGTTCATTTTTATTGTCTATTTGCTGTCTCTCTCTGTCTTTAGTCATTTGGTTCTGTCTCTCGGCATGCCTGGTGGCTGTCAATTTTGTGTATGACAAAGAGGTACAGACTCTGGATGAGACTGTCCTCATTCAGGGAGGATTTGGTGTCCCCTAATGGGCAGGGGCACATTGCCTTGTTCCAACTGGGGGTTTACTTTTCATGATGTTTGGTCTATTTCTGGTCTGCCCTTACCCTTGCAGCATAGCCCTTCTCGAAAGATGGTGGGGAATGTCTGCCATGGTGCCTCTTTCTTATAAGCCCTCTTCTCCAGTTTCCATCTCCCTTGCACTGTGAGATTGCCACGAACTTAGTTTAGCTTTTCAGCCTCTCAGCTGCTGCTTTCTGTTTGGTTTCTTAGACACTGGGCCCATGCAAATTAAATACTGGCAAATGACTTGAAATTAAAAAAAAAAAAAAGCACAGAACA